TGCCTGCTAAACCAGGATGTATTTTTAAACACATGTAGACAATGCAAAGCAAACGCTGTTCCCATGTAGGGGTGGGTTTTATTAATTCATCTTAAGCCAGTTCTTCACCACTTTGCCTCCAGAAGCCCTTGCAGACCAGGACATGCAGATATATCCATAGACCCAACTGAGCTACCATTCGCAGACTGAGTTAAGCTCAACTGGGGCAACTTTACACCAGTAAAGAGTGAGACCAAAGTACAACCAGCATAAAGCAAATACCTTTCCAAGGACTCACTCTTTGAATTGTCTGGAGCCGCCAACCCATAACCACCACATTGTCCTGAGGGCTGCATGGACAGAAGGGTCCATTCATCTAATGGGCTTGCAAACAACCTGCAATTCAAGAGCGCACAGACACCTTGGGGAGGATGGGGAACGAGTCAGATGCTGAGCATTGCCTAAGTGAGACTGGGATCATGGCTCTGCACCGTGATCCCAGTGGAAATCTATTTGCAAACAGTTTTCCCATGTGGAAAACCATGATCTCAAGATGGTGGAGTTTTACCTCCTTCCCTTGCAGTACATCAGCCATTATAGACACTATCTTTTATCAGCAGTTGACACTTGGAGCATATTTCACATATGATTTAGCAGCAAAAAGTTACATCATTTGGCCCTTCTTTATTGCCCTCTTCAATTACTGCTGGGCAACGTTGGGAAAAAAAGGCCCAACCGTGCTGTAATTTACTGTGTTGCAGTGTATCATTAGAAGATTTAGCGCTGATTATGCTGGAGCCGTGGTCCAAAGCAAGAGTACAGTTAACTAGACCAGACTGATTTCAGACATCCCAAATTTCCAGAGAAATCCTTTTATAAGGAAGGGAGGAGGAGACATGTCCCACCGTCCACTGGGAAATCAGGACTTCAGACTGTCTCAACCAGCTAATGTCTGAGCTTCTTAAGTGAATGAGATTTCTCTAAGGTGATTTCCAAGGAGGGAAGCGTGGAAAGCACAGCTTAGCCGTACAGAGCACGATGCTAATGTGAGGTCCCAGGGCCACCACGGCTCTCTTGGAAGATGTCCATGGATGTCCATGGAGCTGGGGGTGCTCATACCTGGGGAGGTGCCTGAATTTAGGTGCTGTGGGCATGGAGCAAGAAGGACATCATGTTGCTGGCCAGGAGTGACCTGGAGGCTGGACATGAGCGGTTTCATTTGGGAAGGAGCTGGCTCTAGCCTCACCCACAGCTCCTCCATCCAAGGGCAGGTCGGGGCTGTGGTTCTGCTCCTTAATCCGGGCATTACTGGATCATCCAAATTTGACCAGATCAAGAGCGACCACATAACTGCATTTCTGACAAATTACCTCCAGCACTCAGCTTTTATGTAAGCGCATGTGTTTTAAGCCTGGCTTTGCGCCAGCTGCAGAGGGACTCACGTAAAGCGAGAGTGGTACAACCAGACGAAGTCTCCAGCCGGGCAGCGTCAGCGCCAGCAGGACCACGTCGGACCAGGTTTATACCAGGTCAGCACTTTTTGCTTTATGCGGCTGCAGCTTTTCTGAGCCCTAAAGATGGTTTTACATCATCGGCAAACCCCAGCCAAGGGGAAATTCTTCCTTGCTTGAACCACCAATCTGTATTTTAACCTTCAGATTACTTCCCACCCGGCATCTACCAGCCCTAGAGCTGAACAAGCTCTGGGTGAATGGGGACACATATGAGCTGGTGCTCAGCATCCTTCTGTCATGTTCTTTTTTCTTTTTTTTTTTTTTTTTCTTTTTTTTTTTGTTTTGCATTGAATGAGAGCTAAAATTAGCTCAGCAGGAGGTGAAGACTGGAACATTTTAGCTAAAGCTGCCGTAGTATTGAAAAGCCGTAGTTTTGCTGATTATTTCCCAGCTTTCTTACTGTGAACAGCGTCGCCTGGTCTATTATTTTGACAGATGAATGCAAGTAAAGATCCCATAAAATAAAGTGCTCCGCAAGGTGTTTCAGCTCATTCTCCAGACGATCACTGTACCATTTGACCTGGAAAGCCGTGTCCAGCTGAAGGTCCAGCCAGCTCAACGTGTCTCCAGCCACGGCCAGGGGCCCTCACTACACCTTGCAAGTGATACAACAGCCCACCAGCACTGCGCCCATCATATGGACACCTCCACAGCCAGCCTCTGGGCTTTGCTGGATCGTTTTTTCTCTTTGCATTATCACAGAATCATAGAATGGTTTGAGTTGGAAGGGACCTTTAAAGGTCATCTCGTCCAGCCCCCCTGCCATGAGCAGGGACATCTTCCACTAGATCAGGTTGCTCAGAGCCCCGTCCAACCTGACCTGGAATGTTCCCAGGGATGGGGCATCCACCACCTCTCTGGGAAACCTCTTCCAGTGCCTCACGACCCTCATCGTAAAACATTTCTTCCTTCCATCTAGTCTGAAATCTCCCCTCTTTTAATTTAAAACCATTGCTCCTTGTCCTATTGCTACAGGCTCTACTAAAAACTCTGTCCCCATCTTTCTTCCAAGCCCCCTTTAAGCATTGAAAGGCCACAATAAGGTCTCCCTGGAGCCTTCTCTTCTCCAGGCTGAACAACCCCAACTCTCTCAGCCCATCCTCATAGGAGAGGTGCTCCAGCGCTCCGATCATTTTGTAGCCCTTATGTATTTTGGAAAGCTGCTGTGAAGAGTGTTCGTTTAGGGGTACAGTATTTCCATCCTCAGCTTTCAGCTCTCGGGAGGAGCAATGGTTTGTAGCCTCTGTATCTCACAAGTGGAAACCCTGAGCAACAGCAAGGTTAAATGATTTGGTCACATCTCATGGACCAGTAAGTGGGGACAAGAACCCAGATCTCAATTCAAGGGACAACACCATCTATGCTACAATTTGTCTTCAGGGCTTTAACCACCAGGATATGGTATGTACCTCACGGAATAAGGTGAAAACATCTGCAAAAACATCTCTTAAATGCCGAGGCCTCTGGTGTGCCCACGTGGCTTGTTGCTACTTTGGTGTCACACATCAGGGACAAAACTATCATCTCACCTCTAGTTGCACAACAGCTTGGAGGTGGGACAAGTATGAGTGAGCCCAATATTCCCTACCTTTTGGTTACCCGAGAGTAAAAGCCAACTTCTCAGCCATCTGACTGTAACCCTAGTGTGGCCATTGACCTGGTGGCTCCTAGACTTGGAGGGATCTTTCTAACCCCAGCTCCCTATGGCCTGCACAGCAAATGAACGCTACAAAAGCTCAGAGAAGTTGCAGTCAGTTTTGGAATAAAGTCGTCTGCTTCATCCTTCTCCATCTGTAGAGCCTTTGATGGTGTATTCCCAGGGTGGGCATCAGGGACAGGGGCGGGCGCGCTCTTCCTTGAGCTTCTGATGATGCAAGCCATCAATGCTAGCTTGGCTGCTGGACCACGAAGGTATGATGTGATTATTGGATATTTCAATTCTGCTGCTGCAGAATGAAATGGAAATGAGCCAAATTGTAGCGTAGATGACAGTTTCCCAACATCTGCCCTTTCAGGTGTCGCTTAGTGCACATCAAGCATGACAGGGTGGGTGCATCCATCATGCCCTCAGCCTTCAATGCCGACTCTCACTTGAAGGACGAGAGGGGAAAGCCTGGAAATTGAAACTCCCATGCAAACTTCGCGCACAATCGAAAGCCATTTTGAAGCTGGTTCGTGGGCTCGGCGACACGACCCCAGCGGAAGGCACAGTCCATTCAGAGCAAACCGTATACTGTACCTCAACAAATCCCTCTGGGTTGGGCGCATCTCCCAAAAGGCACAGCGCTGAGCGGACCTGGTCCAGATGCTCACAAAGCCTCACCTACTGCCATGGCCATCAACCACACGAAGGACAGCAGAGGCTGGAAGTCACATTCCTGGGGTCCAGGTGCTTTGGCAGCGACGGAGCTTACAAGCCCATCTGGACAGTCTACTTTTCTCCAAATCCTTCAGTCTCCAACACTCTGGTGGTTTCCACTCAAGGTCCCCCTCCAGAAAAGGCAGGAACCAGCTGTAGGGACCTTCTCCCTGGCAGAGGACATGTGCAAGCGGGATACGACACAGTGGAGCGGTAAACGCCTGAAGGCAGGGTGAGCAGGGCGAGAGGAAAAAAAAATAACCTTTATTTCCAGAGGCATGGGAGATGAATGGGGCACGAAATGGTTGAGGAAAACCCACCAAGGACTGGCTTTCCCCTCTTCTTGAATTTTCCTCCTCGCCTGGCGGCGTGGGCCACCCGTGTCCCAGCACAGAGCAGAAGCTTGGCCCTCCATGGTATTTCAGGGACTGGGGCAGTGTCCGATGGGAGCTGGGTCCCCAGCATGGGGGTTCCTTCAAGCTGAAATGACGAGAAACAGGAATAATAACAAAAATAACCCCAGCAGATTTTGCGCAGCGAGCCAGACACCCCTGTGCAACCCACCCCGATCCAGCCAGCCCCTCCAGACTGGGACCAACTGGGTGCATCCAAGCTGGGGAGCCCAGAGCTACGTGCACCGAAATCAGCCCAACAGAGCCCAAAGCTCAGGATTGACCCTACCTGGGTGCTACCCACGCCGGAGAGGTCCCACATGGGGCTGGGGTGGGTGCCCTCACCACCGATCCCACGCGGTACCCACCTAGAGCAGCATCTCTCCTGCCTGTCTCATCCCCGCCACTAAAAAAGCCACTCGGCACAGCCTGGGATCAAGTGTACGTTTTTATTTTTTAATGGAACATAAACTCCTTTAGAAAAAACATTCATCTGGATGATAACACCCATAGAAAAAAACACCAATCTCGTGTTCTTTTTTTTTTTTTTTTAATTTGGCATTTGTTATTTGCATTTATATTAAAGCAAAGTGCATCTTTCTTATTTTTTTTCTCGTTTATACACATTGCACAATACATAAATAATGATGCTTATAAAACGTCTTTATATTTACAAGTAATAATATATTTATATATAACATAAAATACATTTTTTTCTTTAATAAATCTCAGGATTTTTTTAAGGAGTCCTTTTTTTGTGTGTTTTATTTCCAAAGCACTACAATGCTAAAGTTCCAATGAGAATGCTCTCTTGTTCATTTAAACCTTTATATTTAGAAAAATAGCTTATGTTAAGGTCTAAACATGCTCATTGAGCTAAGAACAGTGTAAAAGTATCATACTCGTGTATGAATTCAAGAAGAAATGAAAGCACAACTGCATTTCCAGATAGGATGGTACCGGGATAACCTGATCTAAGCAGGTTACAACAGACCAACTATCGTGAACACTTTTTCTTTTGTTTTCCCATTTGTTTTTCATTTGTTTTGTTGGTTTTGTTTTGTTTTGTTTCGTTTTTTTAGGCTTACGCTTCTGTCGCTTCACATCTCAGCTCAAATTATAAAGCACGGGCCATGCACGAGGTTTCTCCACCGTTGTTTTCTCCCCTTGCATCAATCCATGACCATAAAAAAAAAGGCAGTGGAAGGATGAACACAGTGACAAGACGTGAACCCAGCAACAAGAAAAATAAAATAAAAATTAAAAGGGTGGGTAAAGACCTGGTTGGGAAGGTTTTGCACGATCCTTCGGCGGCAACGTGGGGTTAGCACCGCTGGGGAAGGGGACTTGGTGTCACCGTCACCGGGGATGGCTGGTGGCAAGGGGAAGGTGGTGCGTAAAAAATACAGGTATCTTGTTGTTTTATCCAAGAGAAGGAGCTGTAACATATAGCAAGTGGCTTCCAAATCCATCGATCACATAGGATAAACCTTTCAGAGGCGTGAAATAATTATCGTATGCGATCCATCCCCCCGCACCCTTCTCTCGCCCTTCTGAGTTATTGGTCATTCACACTTTTAAAAAATAGATATATTTATCAAAATACCCAAGGCAAAAAAAAATCTTTCCATAAGCTATTTCTCAAAACGGGGCGGGGGGGGACAACAAACAAAACAAAACAAAAACAAAAAGTTTGCATGAAAAGCAAGCACTCAGAAGGAAATAATAGCAGCAAAGTAGTATAAATGTCATGAGTCCACTCTGTCTCGAGTCATCGGTTATTAAAAATAACCTCCAACCAGCACGGGCAACTGCTGATAAACTGTCTCGTGTAGCACTGGCCCCAGCCTTTCACAAAGCTGATCTGAACAGTAAATCCGGTCCATGGTTGCTGCATGAACTCATGGTCGTTGGGTCTCTGCAAGCTGTACGCCTTCTCGTAGTCAAAAGCCTTGATGGAAAAACCTGGAAACACTTTGTGAACCAACAACGTCCTGGAGTCGGGGTTGTCCAGTGTGGCCGACTTGATGAAGATGGGGTAACTGCTGCGGTTGTACACCCACACGCCGTCCACTTCCTTGGTGAGCTGGATGCCGTAGCCGATCTTGCTGCGGACCTTCTGCACCAGTTGGCTTTTGTTGTCCGAGTTGAGCTGTCCGAGGCAGAAACCATTCCCCTGAGGTAGATCATAGAAGATATCCAGGGAGGGCTCTTGGACAGAGTACAGCCGACCCACGCGCGTCTTCTCTTCCCAGTATGCCACCACGCACCAGTGTGACCGATCCCCCGGCTCCTGAAGAACTTGGGAATCTACAGAAGAGGAGAAAAAAAGGAAGAAAAGGTAAAATTGAGCGCCGGGGGTGGGTAATACAACCCAAAAGCGACGCAACGCCAGCAGGTCCTTGCCTGCCCGTGTCTTCACGATGACCACAGCACAGCCACCGTTTCCAAAAGCCATGTGTTAAGGCCACTACTAAGACCATTTAAGCTGACCCAGGTTTGGGGGATTCCCGTGCTGCTTCAGTGCCTAGCTCTGGCTGGAGTTACAGGTCCTAAATCACCAGGTCCACCTTCAAAAAAGTGGCTCGAGACCCACCAGCAGCACCCACGGCGCAGCCATCCTTCACCCAACCCATCCCGAGGACCACCTTCAGCGCCAACAGGAGATGAGATGCTCCAGCCAGCTGCATCCAGCAAGACCAAACACCCTAAAACCCCTTATTTACACCCACCAAACGACGGATCCGTTTCCATAAACAACTATCTACTGTGCACAGACACCGAAAAAAACAAGACGCTGCTAAGAAAAGCACGCTGAAGGTCACCCCATGGGACTGGAGGAGCCAAGAACTCGCCTGCTCTAGCTCATGGGGCTTTCCCTTGCCTGTAGGCAGAGCCTGGGTGATGGAGAGGATGGAGACGTTGGATGAAGCTCCGACCCACAAGAAGCACCATCAGACGGTGGCAGGGCGTTGACCAGAAATCTCACGCTTCTTAACAAAAATGGCCCCAAAAAGCTCGAAAAACCCCAGAGCTTCATTCCCGTAGCCCTTCTTTCAACTCCCTTGCCCATAGCTAGCCCGTGTGAGCAGCAAGGATATGACTTAGGAGGAAAAAGCAAGCAGGGGCGGCTAAGAAACACGAAAAAGCCCCTTTTCATGACGGAGAATCCCTAGCAGCCCGGTGCTGCTCAGCAGGTAATTCCTTCCAGCCTTGGTAAGCATGTGAAGACCTGGGAACTAGTCATCTCTAGAATTGTGTTTAAAAAAAGAAATATATATTTAAAAAAAAAACAAAAACAAAAACCAAGCTGGGAATGCAAGTTAGTGAGCGCTACCGAAATAATCCCCTGCACCATGGGAACAGCTATGGGACCAGGGATGGTGGGTGACCCAGCACCCCAAAGCTCTCCCTCAATCACCTTGGCAGCCCCCCAAACCACCCCCCAGCATGAGCAATGGCAGCGGCACGCCGGCTGCCCTGTTCTCTCTATTTTTTTGCTATTAATAAGCCAGTTTCCCCAGCGCAGGCGTTTTTCTCCCATCTCCGAGTCGCACTTCAAGCCCTGCACTGTGCTTTTAAAGAAAAAAAAAAAAAAAAAAAAGCCCAGCCACACACTTTTAATTTCCTCATTTCTATGCCAGCAAGGAAAATATTTCTCCAGTTGCTGGAGGCAGCTACTAAAAATGGGCCTGACTGTGTACGCCCCAAAATAGGACCCTCGCTCCCAGGTGAAACCGGGGATGGGGGCTCCGGCGGTGGGAGAGGGGGGGGAGTCCCCAGGACAGCATCCCTCGAGGTGTGCCCCGGTTTGTCCTTCCATCTCCCCTTTTCCGTGCCTCCCAAGACTTTGCTGCGGATAACTTTACATCCTGCCGAAAGCTGGCACCGTGCAAGGGACCCAAGGGGGACAGGCTTGGCGGCTTGGGTTACCTCCTCCCTAACCCAAAATGGGGTGCCCCCCACCAAGGGTGCACCCAGTGGGGCAAGAAATCTCCCCCCAGGATGGTGTTTCTCCCACCTGCCCGGGAGATAGAGGAATTTGGGAGGAAGATGCCCAGGAAAGAGAGGAATTTGGGAGGGGGATGCTCCTGCATCCAGGGGGAAGATGCTCCTGGATCCGTCCCCATCTCGAGCACCCATCGCCCCCCTCTGCTGCACCCTCCCCGCCGACTGCCTGCCAGCGATGCCCAGAGCTTCTTGGGTTTTTTTTTGTTTTACAGCAGCTGAGGGAATTTTGGAGCAGCAGCCATTGAACCCTGCTGAAATTCCTATAGGTTTTCATTTATATGAACATAAAAGCATCCCTTTCAGGAGGAGGCAGGGAAAGAAAAAAAAAAAAAAAAGACTTTTTCACCTGATATTTGTGCTTGCATTAGTGAAGACCACTTAACAAGTAGCTCATTGCCGCTTACAAAGAGTTATTTAATTGCCAGCGCATTAAAAAAAAAAAGAAACCTAAAAAAAAAAAAAGAAAACTGCCTTGGCTATGAATGAACAGACCTTTATGGAGGGCTGGAAGTTCATGAATGAATCCAACTAGGTTTTTCAATGACATGGGGTGACCAGACCTCAAGGACAAGTCTTAGGTAATCCGGGATTTTTTTTTTTTTTTTTTTTTAAGGAGCCAATGCCAGCACACAGTATAAATATGCCAGAGCCTCTTCCGTTTGCGGGATTTGGCTGTTGACTGGATGTCTAGTCAAAAAGCCATGAGAATATAAGGCATGAGCTCGGATAAACAGGATCAGGCCTCCCTGCCAGCCGCCACCAAAGCTGCTTTTCATGGTTGTTGGGACCCCGGCGGAGCCTCCCCGCTCCCACCCGCCTCCCTGATTTTGGCATCTGCTGGGAAAAGGGGTGGGAAAAGCCGGTGGGATCACTCGGGCGGCAGAGGCAGGAGAGGAGGTTGCAGGAGAGGAGGAAAAATTGACGCAGAGATGTTTCCTGCAGCGATGGAGATTTTTTTTTTCCCCAAAAGGCTTTTTTGGTGACAATGACCACGGGTGCGGGCAAATGAAGCAAATAGGTGGATTTTGCCCCAAAATGCCCCGCCGGGTTCATCTGGACCCACCATCCAACGCCTGTCTCCGCCTGCCGCAAACCCCCACAAAAACCCAGATACTGGGAAATTTGCAGCCACATCACCCGCAACGTATCCTCATGTGTGACAGCCCAGAAACAGCTGAGAAACGCGTTGGGATTCTTGTTTTGAGTTAAAAGCATCGTTTTTATGAGCTCCTTGGAGCAAACACATCCCTTTCTAAATGCCTGGAAAATTCCCAGCAAACCGGGAGCGTTCCCATATTCCAGCAAACAATGATAATGTTTAATGCTATAAACATCCGCACTATTATTTCATTATTAAGCATCCCTCCATTTGCTGCTATCGCTGGTTTATTAGTATTTTCCATGGTTTGCATTACAGCCTGCCTAGGGGCTCCACCAGGCTCCCCCCAGCACATTGTGCAAGCTTATTGTGAGAAAAAAAAAGAAAAAAAGAAATAACTGAAAATAAAGCAAGTCTGCCCTCAGGAATTTAGAGAATTGGTCGTATTGATCACTTATAGTTGGGTCTACAGAGAACAGCCATCTGAAGCAGAGCACCCTTCTGCATGAAAGGGAGAAATTGAGGCAACAGTTTGATACCCCCAAGTCTTTGGCGTCATATTTTTTGGAAGGTTGGTGTGGATGGTGACGAAAACAGCGATGTCCCAGCACAACCATGTTATTCAACATCACATTCCCATTGAAAAACTGATTTTTTCCCCTATTTTTTACACCCTCCTAAAGGGCTGCCCTGACTTTTACTGGCACATCCCTTGGAGAGGAAGGAGTGTCCTCCACAAAAGCATCATCCCAGCTTCTTCCCAACACACCAACCAGCACGGGAGGCTACGAGGTTCCCCAGCACCCGCCTTGACCCTCGTGAACACCAAGTCCTGCCCAAAATTGCTCAATAAAAGGCCACAGCCAGGATTTCTCTAGCTTCGGGCGTGCACGTGCTGCCCGTGGGCTCGGGGCATCATCCTGCTCCAGGGAGGGATGCTGCAGGAAATGCTACATCCATACAGAAATCCTGGAGAATGGGACACCAGAGCAATAACCCCCCAAAATTAAAAGCTGCTGAAACCAAGGAGGTCCAGATGAAGGTGGGTATGAGAGATTCACACCACAGAAACACCCAAATTTATCAGTAACAGCCCCACACTTGGTTCTCCCAAGCTGTGGCAGGAGGACTCGCATCTCATGTCGCTTGGAAGTGGCATGAAATTTCTGGTGTGGCTTTTCTCCTCGACACATGAACGCTTTTAAGATGATAAAACCACATCATCTGTACTTTTTCTTTCTGAGCTCTGGCAGTTTTATTAGGAGTTTGGGAAGAAAAAGTTATTTTTTCATTCAGGAGGAACTGAAACATTTCAGCAAAATTGGATTTAAAAAAAACCAAAACAACAAACCAACAACACCACAGCTCCTGGCCAGCTTTTGGATCTCAGCCTTGTCCCGGTGCCAAGTTCATGAGCGTAGAGGGGAGGTGGGCTGGGGATCTTTTGTTTTGCTTTGTTTTGTTTTGACATAGCTAAAGGTTTTCCTGTAATCAACCGACCTCTAAAGAAAACAGCAAGTTTAACACACACTGAGCTATCTCACCCGCCGGGACTACTCCCATCTGATCAAGTCAAGAGCTATCTAAATTGTCACTGATATCTGCGATAATAACAACGTGTCGCTGAAAATGGGAATACAACTGCGCTCCTGATTAGGTTTTTAAATGCCTGTAATTGGATCTTTCCTCAGTGGTATTAGGATTAGACGCAAATTAAATTATCCAACTGTAAAAGTGTTTCAAACTATGTCTTTATACTTTTTTTAATATATGTATTTATAGATTATTCTTTTTTTTTTAAGAGCAGCTTTGACCCAGAGCATCTTCTCGCGCTCTTCCTCAATTTCTCACTATCACACCCCCTTGCCTCCCTCATTCCTCTGTGATCCTTGCGGCTGGATTTCCCACCAAACATCAACCCTGACGCAATACTCAACGTGGCATCGCCTAACCTGAACCGCTAACAAAAGTCTCCTCGTTTTCACAGAATCGTAGAATAGTTTGGGTTGGAAGGGACCTTTAAAGGTCATCTAGTCCAACCCCCCTGCAATGAGCGGGGACATCTTCCACTACATCAGGTTGCTCGGGTTTTGTGGTACCTTCACCTGAGCCACCTGCGGAGGTGACACTGCACATATGACCAATAACCCAACACAAATGGGTAAAGGCAACAGATAAATTAATGTAGATGTCCACCAAG